TCCCACTTTTTTTTACTGATTTTTTTTTTTTTTCTAGAATAGATGAGAGAGGGACTTTTGCTTTTCAAATTTCTCATATATCTTATCTTCAACAATAACTCATGTTGGAATATTTGAGAGGAGACTGTTTTAACTTTCAAATTTGACATCAGGTACTATTTTATCTCAACAGAAAAACATTTTGAATTAGTTAAGCATAATTATCCAGCAAAGACCAAGTCAATATTATGTTATCATTTATTTTCATCAAATACACTCAACTTTGTTTTACTACTCCACAATGACTCAAATATTACTGTAATATTTTACCTACACTCGATCAATCTTAAAAATAAATTCATTAAATTTTTCTGACATGAAATTTTCGCTTTAAACTAAATTTTAAAGGAATAAAAAGGTAGTCATTTTAATCATTGTAGTTCCAGTGTGTCTTATCAATAAAATTTAAATTCCTTTGAGTACAAAGTCACCTTAGTTAGAGAGTGTTTTATCCACATTGGAGACTTCAAATTCAAATTTATTCGGGCTCCAACAATACGGATAAAAAAAATAAAAATAAATACAAAATAGTAAACCGTAAATCCAAGTGTGAAACGTAGTACATGTTATACTGCGAATGTCTATTTGCCAAATGGTGATGGTAGTTATATTTTTATTTGTTTAAAGACAGAGAAATTGGATTTCCTAGTTTTTGCTACTAATTACGAACTGATTTATCGTGTAAAAAATTTCTTTCCACATGGCGCTAAAAACAAGTTTTGACGACCTATGATAAAAATAGCACAAAACAAAAAAAAAGACTATACTAATAATAATGTGATAAAAAGTAAAAGAGAAGGTGTGAACTCAGGGTGGCTCAATGTCTTTAAAAATGAGGCATATGCCTTGGGCCTCAAAAATTTAAGGGCCTAATTTTTTAGTAATAATAAAATTATTATAAGCTCTTTTTTAACAAAAAATTATATACTATATTTTTTAATTTATTTGTCATTTTTTTAGTTTGTTTCGAAACATTAAAGAATATTTTTTTTTATGGATCAATTTTTAAATTTAACTTCCACATGATATGTTTAAGACCACAAGATTAAAAAGTATTTTGATATATATATATATATATATCTTTAGATTAAGATCATAAAAAAATAAAACTTTTTTTATTAAAAAGAAAGAAAAAACTTGAATCTCAGATATAAAAAGAATAATTATAATTTAGGCCTCTAATTTATTTTTGGCTTTAGGCCACTAATTAACTTTCTAAAATTTACCATTTTACTTTTTGCATGAACAGAAACACATGTCATAGTGGGTTGAAATAAATCGGACAGATCAATAAAATGAATAAAGAATAGTGAACTATAAATTCAGGTGTGAAACGTGTACATTTAATATCTGATACTAATGCCGATTTGCCAAATAAATTAATATATTTATTTATTGAGTAATTAAATCTTGGGTGGTGATAATTTATTTTTATTTGCTTAATGAAAAAGAGAAATTAGATTTCTGGCTAGTTTTTGCCACTAATTAGGAACTGATTTGTCATTTGAAAACAAAGGGACTAAGTATTTGACAAGAAACGGAAAGAAAAACATGTGAATCTAATTTGAAAATCACTATATTACTTTTTACCATATCAATAGTGAGACTATTATGAAAACTTAACTTGAAATAAAATTGAATTATGTGTTTCAAGCTCATCTTTTAACCATAAAAAAATGTGTTGATTCTCTCACATACACACACACATATATATATATATATCCAAAACTCAATAAGCTATATATTCTTAAATAAAAAACTTATAAATTTGAAACTCTAGTGTTTGTGCATGGATTAATGGAAGACTTTCGTCTTATTCTTCCTCTCTTATATTTTTTAAAAAGAAATAAATAAATATTTGTTTACATAATTTTTTGAGAAAAAAGAAATGCCAAACAGGTTGAAAATTGAGCTCGAAGCAAAGTAGAGTTAGTAATTTAATAAGAGAACCCAGTGAAACTCCATGGACAAGTTGCACGAAAAGAACACATGCTAATAGACGTAAATAAAAATATATTACAAAATTTGGCATTAATTCTATGAGACATAATTTAAGCATCCAATCTAGGACTATGATATATTAAAACTCCTTAGTGAACCTTATAAAACATATGTATATAACAAGTACCATTTTGAACAAAAAACTTGACCTAGCCACCTAGGCTTATTTAAGATTGATTTTGATTTACCATATCATATCAAATCTAAGGAACATTAATGAAATAAGGGAAAAAAGTCTGATTTATTCATGTACTTTATGATTTGGAGCTGGTATATTCTCTGTTTAAAAATGGTTCATATATGTCTTTACCGTTATAAAATTGGCTCATATATATGCCCTTTTACTTAATCGACTAATATTTAATTAAATTAAAAATATATTTTTTTCTTTAATTTGAAAAAATGTCATGTGGCTTTTAAAATAGGGAAAATTGTACATAATGACAAACTATTAATTCAAATTAAATGGTATAACCACACTTTGATTTAATTGTGTCCTGTAGCAAACTGTTTGTCAGCGCCTCTCTCCCTCAAACTCTCGCTCGCCACTTTCCTCTCTCGCTCACTCCCTCTGTGCTTGCCTCTCTCGCTTTATACAACAGAATTGTATAAATTGCGTTTCTGTTTGTATAAAGCGAGAGAAAATTGTATATACACATGCAAATACATATATATTCGTCCTATACACTTATAATTATACAATAAAAATATTCCCCTGCCCAGTTCTCTTTTGTCTTTCTCTCTTTCTCGTTTTATACAACAGAATTGTATAAATTGCGTTTCTGTTTGTATAAAGCGCGAGAAAATTGTATATACACATGCGAATACATATATATTCATCCTATACACTTATAATTATACAATAAAAATATTCTCCCTGCCCAGTTTTATGTTTGTATAATATATAATTTATGTTTGTATAAAGCGAAAGAGAGAGTGATTTTTGATATACAAATATTTTTGTCAACGATTTATACAAACGAGAGGCTAACAACAATTTATACAAATGACTTGCCAACGAAATTATACAAATCTGAAGAAGAGCCAACGAATTATACAATTGCTTCTTTTTGTATATATGTATAGCGAAATAGACAGCTTTCAATTGTATATGTATAGAGAATTATACATATATATGTTTGCTATGGAGCGCAACTATGCAAACTTTGTTATAACATACAAATATGATTTTTTTGTTTGCTATATGTGAAAGTTGCTCGTTAAAATACCCACCCAATAACTTTTCACCATGCCCAACCGACCCAATTAGAAACAAAACCCCCCACCCATTTAAATAAACCAGACCCATTTCATTCCATTGTCTCCCCAATTGGAAACAAAAACCCCTAGGGGTGTATCTAGAGGGGGGGGTGAGTTCACATATCTATATTTAAATATTTTTTTAACATATAAAACTACTATATATGATCTAAAGAGGGTTCACGTGAACGACACCCCCTTAGATAAGCCCCTGTTGGCGGCTCCAATATTCTGCAAAAGCCATTTTTTATTCAATAAAATTTACTAAAGGTGAATCTATGGCACATGACACACCCACGAATAGGAAAGAGGAAGATAGGCGAGCTCACACACACAAAACAATGCATTTCAGTTCAATTTGAACCGTTACAACAATTTATTGCCATTGAAGATCAGTTTTAGTAGAAGCTTGCTTGTTCACCAATTTCTCTGAGACAGATTAAAAAAATTAAGCAATTTATAAGAAAAAAGGTACCACTTTTGTCAGAAAATTTAAAAAGCTAATAGATCAAAATACTACCTATTGTAAGCTTTAAATGGGTTCCCAGTTGGGGAGACAATGGAATGAAATGGGTTTGATTTATTTAAATGGGTGGGGTTTTTTGTTTCCAATTGGGGAAACAATGGAATGAAATGGGTTTGGTTTATTTAGATGGGTGGGGTTTTTGTTTCCAATTGGGTTGGATGGGCATGGTGCAAAGTTATTGAGTGGGGTATTTTAAAAGCAACATGACATTTTCTCAAATTAAAAACAAAATAAATGAAATTTTAATTTATTTAATAGTGATCTGTTAAGTAAAAGGGTATATATTAGCCATTTCTATAACGACAAGGAAATATATGAGCCATTTTTTAAACGGAGGATATATCAACTCCAAATCATAAAGTTCATGGGTAAATCAAGCCCTTTTCCATGAAATAATGAAAGAAATTAAAGTAATGTGTACCTCTAATTAAGGTCATACTTGTATTTTCAATTAAAAATTGAGAATTATGAGGAAATTTCCCATATAATTCAGTATTATGCCATTTTTTCCATCCGAGTTGATAAAATTTCAAAGCTTTTTTCCCTTTTATTTAAATTCAACGACTAGTTGCTGACCTTGTGACACTATAAATTTGCAACGTTGATTAGGTCTTCGAATTTTTTTAGCTAAACGGCATATAATTTATCATTTGTACGACGCAACAACTAGCCCAATTGTTGTTTCCTATAGTTGAAATTTCAAATATATTTGAGGGCCAGGGAAACATGTGCCGTGCCCAAAGCATCCAAAAAAAGTTGAATTTTTGAAGTCAACCCTCCCAAGTCATCGATTTGAACTGGTTGAATAGTATAATTTCTCGGTTTCAATTTGTTTATTTTAGCCCATTTAAAGAAATGTAATTTTTATTTCTAGCAATTCTTTAATTTCATCTTTACATACGACATGATATGTTCAAAATAATAAAATTATAACACTACAAATAAATTAAAACCAAATGAATAGTATTTTTGAATATTGGAAAGCAGAGTCCTTTAAATAACTGACCATAAGAACCAGGGACTACCAAGTACCAACCAAATAATTGCTTTTACAATAGGGCAAAAATTAAGAGATAATGGAGTTCTTCAACAGAGCTAAAGTTGTTCGGCTCAAAGGTCATCTTGGCAAGTACCTTGTCGCCGATGATGACGAAAAAACCGTCCGTCAAAGCCG